CACTGCATGGGTTTTTAGCGTTCATTTATATTTACCATTCATTTAGGTCTCCTGATATGCATTACCTTTTAGAATTCATCCTTTGCAAGTTTCTTTTTCTGCTAAGTTTAAAAAATGAATTCTCTTATTAGCATATGAAAGAAATTCTGTGAGTTAGGCAATGGGTTGTTAACTACTAAGTTGCCTGTTCAAACCCACCAGTGACTCTGCAGGAGAAAGATGAGGTTTTCTGTTCCCCTGGACTCCTGCAGACTGAGGAACCCTACGTGGGGCCGCTCTGAGTTGGAATGGACTAGACAGTGGTAGATTATGAGGTACTAGCGTCTGTGTGCAGTTTATAAAATGCATGCACTTCCAGGTTCTGAAGGTCCATGTCCTCCAAACATGTGGTGACCAACAAGACTGGGAGCGCCATGCTGACTCAGTGATCCTGAAGAGAATGTCCTCAGGCATTGAAGGAATTGACAAAGAACAGGGCTCTGGAAATAGATGGAACACAAACCGAAATCTGTCAACAAACTGATGCAGCATTGCATGTGCTCCCTCACTTCTGCCAAGAACACTGGCCTACAGCTATGTCGACAACTGATTCGAAGAGATCCATGCTTGTGCCCATTCATTCCAAAGAGAGGTCACCCAGCGGAATGTGGAAATCATTGGAAAATATCATTGATATCCCATGCAAATAAAGTTTTACTAAGGGTAATACAGAAACGGCTACAATCATACACTGACAGGAACTTCCAGAGATTCAAGCTGGATTCAGAAGAGGCCGTTGAACAAGAGATATCATTGCTGATGTCCGATGGATCTTGGCTGAAAGCAGAGAATCCCAGAAGGATGTTTACCTATGCTTTATTGATTAAGCAAAGGCTTTTGATTGTGAGGATCATGACAAGCTCTGGACAACATTGTGAAGTATGAGTATTCCAGAACACTTAATTGTACTTCTGAGAAACCTGGACCTGGATCAAAAAGCAGTCGTTCAAACCGAACAAGGGAATATTAAATGGTGTAAAATGAGGAACGGCGTGCTCCAGGGTTGCATTCTTTCATCATACTTATTTTGATCTGTATGATGAGCAAATAATCCAAGAAACTGGATTATATGAAGAATGTGGCATCAGGATTGGAGAAAGGCTCATTAACAAACTGCACTATGCAGATGAT